TAATGCTTTTTCTGTTCATTCTAAATGTTATAAAAAAAGTATAAAATCGTAAGCGCGACGCTATTAGATAGGCGGGGGGGGGGGGGGGGGGGGAGACGACCTCGCGCTGCTGCGAACCGGTTCGGCCGTCACATTCCCGCAGAAACTGGTTGATCACACCGGGGCCAGACTACTAACATGTGGCTTTACAACCACAATGTCCTCAGAAGCGAAAACGCTTTTAAAAGGGAGGGAGGAGTCCTAACTGTTGCTAAAGGCGTGTTGTGATGAGAGTGCAGTTATATACTGGTTAATATATTTTTGGGTTCAGTTGCTTACATGTGGCCTAATGTGAGTCTATTTGGGATCATTGGAATGATCAGCAGCATTTCTTGATGTGATTTTATGGCAGTTGCCCAGGGCATCATCACAAGGAGGATGGCATTCATTTACTTGAGTTTTATTTGGTATTTTTTCAGTAATTTTTGGAAATAGTGATTAATTTTGATTAATTCACAGCCTATGTTTAATTACATTTAAAAATTTGTTGTTTGACATCCCCAATTATAATAAATGTCTACAGATGAGATCAAACAAAACAGATGAGAATTGCCCTTAAAGAGCAAGTCACCCCCAAATAAACTTTTTTTTGCTGATAAACTAAATAAACGAGTGTCTAATCTTGCTGCAGACACGTGTCGTCAATAATTTGGCACTTCAGTGCATCTTAGTTAAAATTTAAATATTCTGCCTAAAACTGGCAGTGTTGTGCCATTGTCAGGTAAAAACTCTGCACTGTATTTTAATTTAAATCTGCCACCGCTATTGGCTAAGAAGTATGCTATGATGTAAACTGGTACATTATGATGTCACAATGCTGTTGTGAGCCTGTGTGTGTATTTGTTAGCGGCTCCGCCCTCTCGGTCTGCCAGGCAACAGCAAGTGTTGCATTTTTCAAACATGAAGTGGGAGTGGAGTTAGACTCTGGTGGGGTTGACTTGCTCTTTAAAGAGCAAGTAACGTCTAAATTAACTTTTTTTTCCTGATGAACTGTATAAATGAGTGTCTAATAGTGTTTTAAATGTGTGCATTCTTTATTTTAGCATTTTGGTGCATTTTCTTTAAAAATTAAAAATTCTGTCTGAAAACCACAGTAATGCGCCACCTTCAGCTGAAAACATAGAATTTGAGTCGTTTTGAATAAATTTTAGCCAATGGCTAAAGAGTAAAGTACTACGTAAACCAGTAGAGTACTACGTAGCAGCTCCGTGCCAAAGTTATAAAAGCAACGAGTGTCTCGGCCACGCCCTGTGGCGAGTGGGAGTTGGATTTGCAAGCGAGCATAGGAGGTCAGCGGTAGTTCAGCATTAGCATATAGCATTAGCATATCCTAGTCTTTAGCATATCTTTTAGTGTTATAAATACTTATTTAGTGTTAGCTTGGCTGTTGGATATTGTAGTTTAGTTAGTGTTTGTCTGTTAGTGTAATTGGGAAAGTATTTCGGGTTTAGTGTTCCATATCGTCTTGGTATTGGTGAGTAGGTGTAGTGTAGTATGCTTGCGGTGACTCTGTGGGCATTTTACCCACGATTCTGCACGTCTGCGTTTGAAGAGGGAGGCTGACCACCGTGGCTCTTCCGCGATTTAGATGCAGCCCACCAACTCTGCTCCCCCACCACGGCGGGCTCCAGTCTGAGGTGAGTAAGCTAAATACACGTTTTAACATCTTCTAAAGACAATTCCCTACCTAAATGCAAAGTCTGAGAGACGTGGTTTACTTCCTTTAGCTAGTCAGTCGGCAATTCTGCAACAGTGTCTCTAACTAACAGCACTAGTTGACAGACAGCATTACAGCGTGAAATCCAGCTTGTAACACGGTTCTGTAAGGAATTCTGTTCAGGAGGTCACATTTCAGGCTCTCCACATCATGTGTGACTGACTTTTACGTTATAAAAACGATCACACACTAGGAATGTTATAAAGCGCCTATATAGGAGTTTCTTTTGTATATTATCTGACTTTATAAACTCCCAACAACAATGTGCTTCTATTTTTTTTCAGGCTAAATCTACCCAAGACACTGGCTGTCAGACTGATTTAGCTGCAAGAATGCACTTGTCCAGGCAGACGTGAAGCCTTACCTGTAGCAAAGGTGAATTATTTTTAATAATCTTCTATGTAAACATTTTATTACCTTCTAGTTTTAATTTGTTTTACAGATTATTGTTACAGGTGATTTCATGCTCTTTTAAACATTTGTAAATGTGCTGCTTCTTTGTTTTTACATAGCCAGCCAGAATGGAGTTCACAGCCGCAGTGTGTCTGGTGACCCACGGGGACCATGATGAAAATTCATCTTCCAGAAAGTCCCAGAGCGTCCACACCCCCTGAAAAGACCAAGATGTGAGGTGTCTGCTGTTGATTCCAGCTTCCACCTCAGTGACAGTGCAAGCTCAGCGAACTGTTCAAGGTAAAACAAAAATAAAACATTTCAGAATTTTTAAGATATTAACAATTAAATAAGTATGTGATTACATCATGACATCATGACGGAGGCTACTGATTCTGCCCCTGTGACACTTGGTGGTGACGTGTGAGCTGATTCACCTGGAAAATAACTTTTACATTAAATATTTTGTTTTTGCTATCAGAAGTAAATTAACTAATAACCTGCATTATTGCAGGACGCTCAGCAAAATATGGACTCTACACCATGAGTCAGGCACACGTTAATATTCTATAAAAGCACATAAGGTGAGCAACACCACATATTATTGTACACTGTCCTGAATTTGTTTTCTTTCTGCATCTCATTAGCCTGGCTGATCACCTGATAACTCCTGTCATCTGGTTATGACAGCATGAGGATATCCTCACACACCTGTCATCTGGTTATGACAGCATGAGGATGTCCTCACACACCTGTAACCTATCAGCTCATCTGGCAGAATAGAGAGAGAAGAGACAACACCACATCTCCTGTTCCTGGAAAGCCTTCAGCCATCCTTCGATGACTGAGAACCTCCATCAGCTCTGCCTCCTGTCTGCCTACAATTATTGTAATAAATATTGTGTTTGACCAGTTTTTTGTGCTGCCAAATATCTCATTTAGATTCCAGTTTATATTTTAATGGATATTCATAAATTACATTGATTATCACATTTTTGTTGCATGTTTATCTAGCTCTATTGTGATGAATTAAACTAGCACCTCACTGTTAAAAGCTCGTTTTAATTTCCAGCATGTTTAAGTATTTATGTACATGAACAAAAACAGGAAATATATAAATTGAGACTTATTTAATTAATATAACAAATAAGGGGGAAAGAGTCATTGAAAGGCACATTCTTCTGGAAGCTCCTGATCCTGACGACACCAGCAGAGGAGACCACCTGCAGACACCAGAGACCAGCTGCAGACACCAGAGGACCTAGAACCGAGAGAGCAGCTGTTATTAGTAAATAAATAAAGAAATCAGGGCAGTTTTAGTGGGCTGAACACATTACAGAATAATTTTCTCATGGGGTATTTTCATAACTTTATATGCAGCAGACTGTAACTTGAGCCCAGGGCTACCGGAGAGCTGCTATCCAGCACGTTTCAGTGGATTTTCCTGCTTTAACAGGTTAGATTAGCTGTTAAGCAGCTCAGCTATTTGTTGCTGATTAAAACCAGGTGTGCTGAAGCAGATAAACCTCTAAAACATGCTGAATACTAGCTTTTTAGGGTCGCGGAGCCAAACACTGCAGCTAATCCAATGCTAGGGCTAAATGCTACTTACCGTTCAGAGGTGGTTCTGTTGGGTCAGTTCTGGGAGTTTCAGGCAACTCACAAGCTCAAAACAATAAGACTCAGGTCCGCTTGTCTCCTCCAAACAGACTTGGTCCCTTTCTTCTCGAGTGTCTGGGTAAGGAGGGGGAGAAACGTCCTCCACTTCTAATAACTGCTCAGAGTGAAGGGAGCTAGCTTCGTCTAGTTAGCCATCGTCTTCGTCACTGCCGCGGCTCCGCCCTCTCGGTCCTCCAGGCAACGCCTACTAATGTTGCATTTTTTTAATTGATACGTGGGTGGAGAAGGACTCCGAGGCTCAATTGACCCGCTTTTTAAGCTGTTTAACTTGGACCAAGCATTTTAGGTCACAGATAGGTGTAGCTTGGGGTCTCTGTCTATACACCTTATAAGACAATTTAGGTGATGGCATGTTGTTTTTCTGCTATTGAACTGTTTTCTAATAATGTTGTGTTTCATAAAGTGAAGAAAGGAGAGAAATAACGTTTCCCTAGCAATTTTTAAAAATGTCCCTATGTAATCCGATTAATCGATTAATCGTGTTGAGACCCCATCCGATTCATCGATTATCCAAATAATCGTTTGTTGCAGCCCTAGTATAATGTTTAGAATGTGTATTTTAATACTTTTTCAGGTCATTCTAAACATACTATAGTATGTGTATTTTAAAGCTATTTCAGGTCATTCTAAACATTATACTATAGTATGTGTATTTTAATATTATGTGAGGTCATTCTGAACATTAAAACTATAGTATCTGTATTTCAATACTATTACATGTCATTATAAACATTATACTATAGTATGTGTATTTTGAAACTATTTCAGGTCATTCTAAATATTAAACTATAGTATGTGTATTTTAAAACTATTTTTGGTCATTCTAAAATTATACTATATTATGTGTATTATAATACTTTGTGAGGTCATTCTAAACACTATACTATAGTATGTGTTTTTTTAAAACTGTTTCAGGTCATTTCAATACCATGTGAGGTCATTCTAAACATTATACTATAGTATCTGTATTTCAATACTATTTCAGGTCATTCTAAACATTATACTATAGCGTGTGTATTTTAAAACTATTTAAGGTCATTCTAAACACTATACTATATTATGTGTATTATAATACTATGTGAAGTCATTCTAAACATACTATACTATGTGTATTTTAAAACTATTTCAGGTTATTCTAAATATTATTCTATAGTATATGTATTTTAATATTATTTGAGGTAATTCTGAACATTATGCTCTGTGTATTTTAAAACAATTTCAGGTCATTCTAAACATTATAGTATGTGTGTTTTAAAACTATTTCAGGTCATTCTAAACATACTATAGTATGTGTATTATAATACTATGTGAGGTCATTCTAAACATTATACTATAGTATGTGTATTTTAAAACCATTTCAGATAATTCTAAGCATTATACTATAGTATGTGTATTTTCACATATAGTATGTGATATCTGGTCTGTCCCGGAGGGGCATCCGAGAGCCCTTTGTCCCGTTCTCATTGTTGAAAAAATTTCATCAACCGCGTTGAGTGACCAACTGACGAGATCCATTTAAGTGAATTTCAGTTTCCAGAAAACATGCAGAAACAGCCGTGCACCCAACATACACAGACAAAGGCCTTGAAGATAAGACAAGGAGGAGAGGAGAAGAAAAGCGTCTGCACCCTCCAGGAGCCGGAAGAAGAGAATTTCAGGACATTCTAAACATTATACTATGGTATGTGTATTTTAATACTATATCTGGTCATTCTAAACATTATACTATAGTATGTGTATTTTAATGCTATTTCAGGTAATTCTAAACAATATACTATAGTGTGTGTATTTTAATACTTTTTCAGGTCTTTCTAAACAATACTATAGAATGTGTATTTCAATACTATTTCAGGTCATTCTAAACATTGTACTATAGTATGTGTATTTTAATACTATCTGAGGTCATTCTGAACATTATACTATAGTATGTGTATTTTAATACTAAATCTGGTCATTCTAAACATTATAGTATAGTGTGTGTAGGGGTTTCCTTTTCAGCTTCCATTAATTTTTTAACAAATGAAAGGACCTGTTACTTCTATACAATGGCTTTAGAGCAAAATAATCATTTGACTTCTCTCATTCTACAGATGAAACATGAATTTCAACTTCAAATACAAATGCTATTTTGCCAGTGGAAATATGAAATGCAGACCCAGCTATATGCAGCTTGCTGAAATGAAAAATATGCAGATGCAACTTTTCAATCTGCAGCAGGAAGTCACAAAAGTCCAAGCCACTGGAGATGACTCCCAGGTGGGAGGGGCTCAAACCCTGTGCTCCACTGATTTGCCTCCAGATAAGATGGAAACGCTGCAACCGGATGTACTGATTCAACAATGTCGAGCGAGACAAACTGTGACAACTTTTGTTAAAATACAAAGATTTTCTTTCACTCGACTCCTTGGACTGTGGTCTAACCACTATCCATGAGGCCAGGATTCCTACACTGCCACATGCTGCGCCGACTTTTGTGCGTCCATACAAGATTCCCCTGGCATCCAACGGACCAGTCCAGGAAATCACTGAAAGCCTCTTGGCTAAAGAGATCATCCAACCCTGAAACAGCACCTACTCGGCTCCATTGTGGCCAGTGAAGAAGCCTAATGGTAAGTGGCGACTAACCATTGACTACAGGCAACTCAACAAACAGGTTCCCTTGTCTAGGTAGCCGATGGCGCGCCTGGAACAAGAACTCCCAAAAGTGAAATACGCTAAATACTTCTCCACCCTTGACATTGCGTCTGGATTCTGGACAATTTCTGTCCATAAATCGGACCAACACAAACTAGCCTTCTTGCCAACCGCCAGTACACCTTAACTCGGTGTCCTTTTGGTTATTCCAACTCACCAGCTGAGTTCCACATCTTCTTGGACAAAGCCTGCCCTGATGCTCGAGAGCGAGGTACCCTCATCTATGTCGACGACAATCTTGTTCGTAAGCGTACCTTGTATGATAAACATACTATAATATGTGTATTTTAAAACTATTTCAGGTCATTCTAAACATTATATTATAGTATGTGTATTTTAATACTTTATCTGGTCATTCTAAATGTTATACTACAGTATGTGTATTTTAATACCATTTCAGGTCATTCTAAACATTATACTATAGTATGTGTATTTTAAAACAATTTCAGGTCATTCTAAACATTATACTATAGTATGTGTATTATAATACTATGTGAGGTCATTCTAAACATTATACTATAGTATGTGTATTTTAAAACCATTTCAGGTAACAACATTGTACTATAGTATGTGTATTTTAATGCATTTTCTGGTCATTCTAAACGTTATACTATGGTATGTGTATTTTAAAACTATTTGTGGTCATTCTAAACATTATACTATTGCATGTGTATTTGAATACTTTTTCAGGTCATTCTAAACATACTAAAGTATGCTCGGATAGGAGACAGAGTTGAGTTGCCATAGCGACGGCACATTCCACATATCTTCTGAGGGGGGAGTTTTCGTTGTAGCCTTGCAGACTCAAGGGTGCCATATTCCGATTAGAAATTGTTTTGGGGCCAGACAGAGATAATTTCCTCTCTGTCTTACAGTTTGTTGGTCCTCAACCTCTCAAAATCCCAATAATGGACATTAAACTATCCCAATCTGCTGATTTGTCCACTCTATCCTTCATGGCATCCATCTTCTGTGACAATGAATGAATCTCGGCCAAAGTTCCAAGCTTATGATTCATCTCGACAATTATGTGAGTCTGTGAATTCACAGCGCGGTGCAAGCCATCTCTTGAGTTCGGGGATCAGGCCAATATTCCTCTACAGCTCGTTAATTTTCCGGGAAGACAGGAAGCCTCCAAGGCGGATCGGCAGGAAACCCGACACCAACACCACGAATATCCACACATCTTCAGAGTGCTACACAGACAGCTGGTCTGTCCCGGAGGGGCATCCGAGGGCCCCTTCTCCCGTTCTCATCGTTGAAAAAATTTCATCAACTGCGTTGAGTGACCAACTGACGAGATCCATTTAAGTGAATTTCAGTTTCCACAAAACATGCAGAAGCAGCCGTGCACCCAACACACACAGACAGACAAAGGTCTTGAGGATAAGACAAGGAGGAGAGGAGAAGAAAAGCGTCTGCACCCTCCAGGAGCCAGAAGAAGAGAATTTCAGGTCATTCTAAACATTATACTATGGTATGTGTATTTTAATACTATATCTGGTCTTTCTAAACATTATACTATAGTATGTGTATTTTAATGCTATTTCAGGTAATTCTAAACAATATACTATAGTGTGTGTATTTTAATACTTTTTCAGGTCATTCTAAACATTATACTATAGAATGTGTATTACAATACTATTTCAGGTCATTCTAAACATTGTACTATAGTATGTGTATTTTAATACTGAGGTCATTCTGAACATTATACTATAGAATGTGTATTTTAATACTAAATCTGGTCATTCTAAACATTGTAGTATAGTGTGTGTAGGGGTTTCCTTTTCAGCTTCCATTAATTTTTTAACAAGTGAAAGGACCTGTTACTTCCATACAATGGCTTTAGAGCAAAATAATCATTTGACTTCTCTCCTTCTACAGATGAAACATGAATTTCAACTTCAAATACTAATGCTTTTTTGCCAGTGGAAATATGAAACGCAGACCCAGCTATATGCAGCTTGCTGAAATGAAAAATATGCAGATGCAACTTTTCAATCTGCAACAGGAAGTCACAAAAGTCCAAGCCATTGGAGATGACTCCCAGGTGGGAGGGGCTCAAACCCTGTGCTCCACTGATTTGCCTCCAGATGAGATGAAAATGCTGCAACCGGATGTACTGATTGGCTCTGAACTACAGGAAACACATGTCCCATATCGCTCCATCCACATTGATGATAAGTGCAACCTCCACGGATAGTGGCCCAGCGCCCCCTGGTGTCGAGCCTGACGAACTACTGCTGGGACCTCTCCTGCCACAGGGTGGTAAGCCCACAGTATTTGTCATATTGCAACAGGGGCATCCCTGCAACGCATTTTTAGATACGAGTTCAGATTGTACAATCATGAGCAAATCTCTTTGACTGCGTCTGCTTGGATGTAGGGGGAGGCGTACGTCCTCTAGAACTGATTCCCTGTGCATTAACTATCCGTGTTTTCTCTGATTCTACAGTGCTCTTCTAAGACTGCTCCAATTCACGATCGGTCCCATGAGCTTGACACACCCTATGTACATCTGTGAGACTGGAACCATGCCTTTGCTCATTGGCATCGGTTTTGAAGCGCTTTGATGCTTATGTCGATATTGGAGAAGGGGAAATGAAGGTAGGTGTTAGAAAACATCTGCCGTTCACTCCACCTTCTTTCCCCGACTCACGCTGCCTTGCGGTAGGTGATTCTGAGCATGGGGGAACCGCATGCTCACTGCCGAGCTCAAAGCCATCAGAGACTCCCTCTGATGTTTTCTCTCAGATTGAACAGGTCGTGGACCAAGCAGATGCTCTTACCAACAATGTCGAGTGAGACAAACTATGACAACTTTTGTTAAAATAGAAAGATTTTCTTTCACTCGACTCCTTGGACTGTGGTCTAACCACTATCCATGAGGCCAGGATTTCTACACTGCCACATGCTGCGCCGACTTTTGTGCGTCCATAAAAGATTCCCCTGGCATCCAAGGGACCAGTCCAGGAAATCACTGAAAGCCTCTTGGCTAAAGAGATCATCCGACCCTGAAACAGCACCTACTCGGCTCCATTATGGCCAGTGAAGAAGCCTAATGTTAAGTGGCGACTAACCATTGACTACAGGCAACTCAACAAACAGGTTCCCTTGTCTAGGTAGCCGATGGCGCGCCTGGAACAAGATCTCCCAAAAGTGAAATACGCTAAATACTTCTCCACCCTTGACATTGCGTCTGGATTCTGGACAATTTCTGTCCATAAATCGGACCAACACAAACTAGCCTTCTTGCCAACCGCCAGTACACCTTAACTCGGTGTCCTTTTGGTTATTCCAACTCACCAGCTGAGTTCAACATCTTCTTGGACAAAGCCTGCCCTGATGCTCGAGAGCGAGGTACCCTCATCTATGTCGACGACAATCTTGTTCGTAAGCGTACCTTGTATGATAAACATACTATAATATGTGTATTTTAAAACTATTTCAGGTCATTCTAAACATTATATTATAGTATGTGTATTTTAATACTTTATCTGGTCATTCTAAATGTTATACTACAGTATGTGTATTTTAATACCATTTCAGGTCATTCTAAACATTATACTATAGTATGTGTATTTTAAAACAATTTCAGGTCATTCTAAACATTATACTATAGTATGTGTATTATAATACTATTTGAGGTCATTCTAAACATTATACTATAGTATGTGTATTTTAAAACCATTTCAGGTCATTCTAAACATTATAGTATGTGTATTTTAATGCATTTTCTGGTCATTCTAAACGTTATACTATTGTATGTGTATTTGAATACTTTTTCAGGTCATTCTAAACATACTAAAGTATACTGGGATAGGAGACAGTGTTGAGTTGCCATAGCGACGGCACATTCCACATATCTTCTGAGGGGGGAGTTTTCGTTGTAGCCTTGCAGACTCAAGGGTGCCATATTCCGATTAGAAATTGTTTTGGGGCCAGACAGAGATAATTTCCTCTCTGTCTTACAGTTTGTTGGTCCTCAACCTCTCAAAATCCCAATAATGGACATTAAACTATCCCAATCCGTGATGATTTGTCCACTCTATCCTTCATGGCATCCATCTTCTGTGACAATGAATGAATCTCGGCCAAAGTTCCAAGCTTATGATTCATCTCGACAATTATGTGAGTCTGAATTCACAGCGTGGTGCAAGCAATCTCTTGAGTTCGGGGATCAGGCCAATATTCCTCTACATCTCGTTAATTTTCCAGGAAGACAGGAAGCCTCCAAGGCGGATCGGCAGGAAACCCGACACCAACACCACGAATATCCACACATCTTCAGAGTCCTCCACAGACAGCTGGTCTGTCCCGAAGGGGCATCCGAGAGCCCCTTCTCCCGTTCTCATCGTTGAAAAAATTTCATCAACTGCGTTGAGTGACCAACTGACGAGATCCATTTAAGTGAATTTCAGTTTCCACAAAACATGCAGAAGCAGCCGTGCACCCAACACACACAGACAGACAAAGGTCTTTAGGATAAGACAAGGAGGAGAGGAGAAGAAAAGCGTCTGCACCCTCCAGGAGCAGGAAGAAGAGAATTTCAGGTCATTCTAAACATTATACTATGGTATGTGTATTTTAATACTATATCTGGTCTTTCTAAACATTATACTATAGTATGTGTATTTTAATGCTATTTCAGGTAATTCTAAACAATATACTATAGTGTGTGTATTTTAATACTTTTTCAGGTCATTCTAAACATTATACTATAGAATGTGTATTTCAATACTATTTCAGGTCATTCTAAACATTTTACTATAGTGTGTGTATTTTAATACTATCTGAGGTCATTCTGAACATTATACTATAGTATGTGTATTTTAATACTAAATCTGGTCATTCTAAACATTGTAGTATAGTGTGTGTAGGGGTTTCCTTTTCAGCTTCCATTAATTTTTTAACAAATGAAAGGACCTGTTACTTCTATACAATGGCTTTAGAGCAAAATAATCATTTGAATTCTCTCATTCTACAGATGAAACATGAATTTCAACTTCAAATACAAATGCTATTTTTCCAGTGGAAATATGAAACACAGACCCAGCTATATGCAGCTTGCTGAAATGAAAAATCTGCAGATGCAACTTTTCAATCTGCAACAGGATGTCACAAAAGTCCAAGCCATTGGAGATGACTCCCAGGTGGGAGGGGCTCAAACCCTGTGCTCTGCTGATTTGCCTCCAGATAAGATGGAAACGCTGCAACCGGATGTACTGATTGGCTCTGAACTACAGGAAACACAACATGTCCCATACCGTTCCATCCACATTGATGATGAGTGCAACCTCCACGGATAGTGGCCCAGCGCCCCCTGGTGTCGAGCCTGACGAACTACTGCTGGGACCTCTCCTGCCACAGGGTGGTAAGCCCACAGTATCTGTCATATTGCAACAGGGGCATCCCTGCAATGCATTTTTAGATAGGGTTTCAGATTGTACAATCATGAGCAAATCTCTTTTTGACTGCATCTGCTTGGATGTAGGGGGAGGCGTACGTCCTCTAGAACTGATTCCCTGTGCATTAACTATCCGTGTTTTCTCTGATTCTACAGTGCTCTTCTAAGACTCTGCTCCAATTCACGATCGGTCCCATGAGCTTGACACACCCTATGTACATCTGTGAGACTGGAACCATGCCTTTGCTCATTGGCATCGATGTTTTGAAGCGCTTTGATGCTTATGTCGATATTGGAGAAGGGGAAATGAAGGCAGGTGTTAGAAAACCTCTGCCGTTCACTCCACCTTCTTTCCCCGACTCACGCTGCCTTGCGGTAGGTGATTCTGAGCATGGGGGAACCGCATGCTCACTGCCGAGCTCAAAGCCATCAGAGACTCCCTCTGATGTTTTCTCTCAGATTGAACAGGTCGTGGACCAAGCAGATGCTCTTACCAACGATTTCGAGCGAGACAAACTATGACAACTGTTGTTAAAATACAAAGATTTTCTTTCACTCGACTCCTTGGACTGTGGTCTAACCACTATCCATGAGGCCAGGATTTCTACACTGCCACATGCTGCGCCGACTTTTGTGCGTCCATACAAGATTCCCCTGGCATCCAACGGACCAGTCCAGGAAATCCTTGAAAGCCTCTTGGCTAAAGGGATCATCCGACCCTGCAACAGCACCTACTCGGCTCCATTGTGGCCAGTGAAGAAGCCTAATGGTAAGTGGCGACTAACCATTGACTACAGGCAACTCAACAAACAGGTTCCCTTGTCTAGGTAGCCGATGGAAACGCTGCAACCGGATGTACTGATTGGCTCTGAACTACAGGAAACACACAACATGTCCCATACCATTCCATCCACATTGATGATAAGTGCAACCTCCACGGATAGTGGCCCGGCGCCCCCTGGTGTCGAGCCTGACGAACTGCTGTTGGGACCTCTTCCTGCCACAGGGTGGTAAGCCCACAGTATCTGTCATATTGCAACAAGGGCATCCCTGCAATGCACTTTTAGATACGCGTGAAGGAGTGAAAAGATGTGCAGCAAGCGTTTTATTTGTGGACGGAAATCACAGGAAACGTGGGTTTAGAGGTGGGGAGCGCATGAAGAGGTGGGAGAATGAGAGACAAATATGTCCGTGTTAAAAGTCTTTTATACATACAAAAAACACAATATAAACTCACTGTTTTGGACCGATACATGACAGGATACCACAGAACAGCGCTACACCCTCTGTTGTCCTGCCGGGCAGTTGCTTTGCAACACTCTCCAGGAGATGTAGAAGTGACGGAGAAGTGTGAGCAAAACGCTTCCATCAATCCTTGCGTGTCTGTCCCTTGCAGCGCTAACGGAGAAGCATAAACCAGGCTTAACACTGTGGATTTAAGGTTTGTACCTGTAGAATGAAATGTGTGTTTTGAGAGTTTTGATTTCAAACATTTACTTTGATTTTTATTTTTATTTTGGAAGTCTGCTTAGTTAAAACCGAAAGTTTCATGTTTCTGAATAAGTGTTTGAAGTTACAAAACGAGTAGTAAATGTACAAAATAAGTTTGAATTTACAAAATAAAAAAATACATGTACAAAATGAAAATTTCCTGTTACAAAACAAGAAATACAAGTACAAATTGAGAATTACAAGTTAGAAAACTAAAGTTACAAGTTACGAATCCAAAGTTACATGTCATGAAACATGTTCCAATTTACAAAACTTGGTACAAGTAACATAGAATATTGTCCCAATCCTAGCTCCATACTCTGCAGCTCTCCACTCAAAAGAATTCTTGATGCTGAGAGACCATATAAATAACGTAATATATGTAGAAACTGGATCTTTTGGACCCAGTAAAGGTTTAGCAAGATTGTCTGGGAAATCGGGAGAAAGTTTGGAGAATGGTGGCCCTTGGAGATTTTTGGGAGGGGCACTGAAGTCCAGGAGTTAGACAAAATTCGGAGGGTTGGCAATTCTGCACAGAGAAAATAGTCTGGTAGCTCACAGGCGAAGAGGCACATGAGGGGCGGGACTAGGCAGCTAAAAAATAATCAATCAGAAAAGAAACGGAATTGCCGACTACCACGTGACGTTGTAGTTTTTTTTAGCTGTAGTGCGTGACGTACGCTACTCAGCGCTGATTGGCTTGGTTAGAATTGTCAGGGTGTTGGGTTATTTGAATAGGAGAGTTCTCAGACCCTTTCTCTGTGCAGAATTAAACAGAGGAGTCTGGCAGGCCAGACTAGGCAAATATGGCCAAAACATGGGTTACAAAATGAGCTGCAAATGATTTGTTGGCTACATGTTTAAACTGTAAAATCACATTCCTCCTTATACACAGCCATTTGTATTTTTTATATAGATATATGTATGTATATGTACTTGGGATGGAAAAGAGGCTTCAGCCTATTTGCCTATGCTGACCTATAATTGTACTAAAGCTCACTTTACAAACAATGCATAACCAAAATTTACACCTATTAATGCAGTAAAGTTTTTGTTTAAAAAAAGAGAAAAAAATCTTTAAAAGATAAAAATAAAAAAAGAAAACAAATAGTGTTTTGAAAAGACAGTCTTGGCCAAGACAGTTGCATCAGCATACCTACAATACTACCACAGTTTTTTTTATATTCAATTATTCAATTTAATAACATTTTCTTTGTTACATTTTTATTTTCAGGCTTGCAAAGGCAGTAATTGTTGATGGAGAGAAGTATCTTCTCACAAATGTAGACCTGTGCACAATCATTGCAGCAGAAACCTGACCCTGTCACATTACCATGCCATTTCTCACCCAACAACCCACATGTGAGTGTTTCATGCTTGTTTTGAGTAACATTTTGTTGTTCTTCCAGGGGTTTGGTCTTTAATGAAAGCCAATTAGTCATTTAAAAAGAAAGGGCAAATTCCTTCAATTGTTTTCAACCTCAAGCAGCAGGTACAGGGTGTGAGTTTCATGTTGCCTTCTAACGCCCTTTTCAGACATTCACTCATACACATTAGCCAATGTTAAGGAAAAATATTTGGTTTATGTGTAAACTAGCCCTGGGTGTTTTTTTAATGACAGATGAAGTAGCACTAAATTCAACATGACTACACACACAATGAGTGTGAAAAACACTCATCTGACCTCTTCACAAGATGTCGCGTTACACCCTCAATTTCTCACAAAACCCCCCCATCCCTCATGAGACGTGACACTAGTCCCCTCGCTCTCATGGATGGCAGAAGGACAGAGAAAATTCAAAAGTTGGCTGCCCTGCTTTGAAGTACACAGGCCCCCTTTGCTTTTGTATCATTTTTCAACAGGTGTGTACTGTGAAAACCGTGTTAATGGGCCCATGGGCTTCCATAGCTGGTGGGGTTGTTGAGTATGCTGTGTTAACTGGTCGGCAAGTTGCTTTCTGTTCTTTGCACGGTAGCCTTAGGTCCCATGCATCCATGTTCAAATCATCTTCTTAACCTACAATCAGTGACAGCTGGTGAATTATTTGTTTTGGGCGGGACACACCTATGTGACCGCTATGCTATCTGTTTTCAGGTGTGGTAACCACACATCACCACTAGGGGATCCCAAACTACCGTTCTTATGATAGAATCCATGTTTTCTATCTTAATAACGTCCAATGACTAAATAAAAACGCAAAAAAAAAAGAAGCTAAATACGCATATTGAGAAAAACATAAAGTAGCAACAACACAGTTATCCACAGAAGCAGCCACTTAAATTAATGCTCTCCTATTCTTTGTATTTGGGGGGGTGGGTGGGTGGGGGGGGGGGGGGGGGGGGAGAATCAAGTGCGCATGTGCCAGTTTTAACGTAGGTCTATGGTAGGGGTAGGCAATCCTGGTCCTGGAGTGCTGCCATCTGTCTCACCTGTCCTGACTCCCTACTTTGTTCAGTCCTGTGTCTCCTGATTACTCCCACCTGGCTCTCATTTTCCAATCATCCAAGCTTCCAGCTCCTCATGCATTTAAACCCTCTCAGTTCTGTGTGTTGTTGGTTCATTGTTTCCTTGTCCTGTGTGCTCATGATTAAAACCCCTTTAATGTTCTTGTCTGCCTGCCTGCCTGCCTGCCTGCTTCTTCCCCAGCGTGTGGATCCTCACCTCCGGCTCAACTTACCTGCGCATGTGACACTATCCAGCATGTTTTAGCTCCAACACACCTAACAGAATGGTTGATTCACCTGCTAACCAAGTTATCAAGTGCTGTAGAACCCTTTTATTCACCTACCGAATAAAGCCAGGTGTGTTGGAACTGGGAAAATCTCAATGACTGGGATTGCCTACCCCGGTCTTTGGTAAAGATTGGTGTGCTCGAAAGGAACAGGAAATATGTTACAAGATTATTCCGTTGTGGTAAAAGTGTGAGAGAACATTTCAAAACTACATGCAGATTATACACATCACTCACTGTATAATGTATAGATTAAGTTTAATTTTCATGTTTTTTATATTTTGTGATTCTTATTTTCTTCTTCTCCTTCCTGTGAGACTGGTGGGGCTGCGCCCTAGTGCCTCCTATGGACAAAATGCCACTGCTTACAATGCTCATCCAATCTTTCTTCTGACCAAAATTTATGAAAAGAATGTGATGCTTAATGAGTGCAGATTTGTGTTTTTGGTGAAATCAAAGCCTAGATTATTTGATAGCAGCCTTCAGGTCATCTGCATTGCAGTGTCCTGGGTCTTTCATCTTCCTGTTGACAAATAACCCATGGATTATCTTGGGGAGGGAGTGGAACGAAGAATATATAGGTAAAATACAATGTTTATCAGCAAAGAAATTCTGTGTTAGGTGAGGGTGGGATGGAGAGAAGCCCAGTAGGTTGGTGAGGAGTGATCATCATGGTTATTGATTCAACTTTTAGTTACCTCATTGACTGTGGACTGTGGAAAAATCTTTGGTTAAATATATAATATAGGAGACACACAGTGATATTTGAGAAGCGAAACAAAGTTTATAGGATTTAGTATGCAATTATTGTTTAAACAAAATTAGGCAAGTGCATAAATTTGGGCACCACAAAAAATAAATTAACCTAATATTTAGTAGGTTCTTCTTTTGCAGCCTTGCCCACATGCCTTAGTAGATGTTGAGCAGTGTTTAGGGTCGTTGTCTTGCTGAAAGATCCAGCCCCAGTGCAGCTTCAGCTTTGTCATTGATTCCTGGACATTGGTCTTCAGAATCTGCAGATATTGAGAGGAATCCATGTGTCCCTCAACTTTATCAAGATTCCCAGTCCCTGCACTGGCCCCACACCCCACAGCATGATGGAACTACCACCATGTTTTACTATGGGTAGCAGATGTTTTTCTTGGAATGCTGTGTTCTTTTTCCTCCATGCATAACGTCCCTTGTTATGCCCTAATATCTCTGTTTTAGTTTCATCAGCACCTTATTCCAAAATGAAGCTGGCTTGTCCAAATGTACTTCAGCATACCTCAAGAGGTTCTATTTGTGCTGTGGGAAGAGAAGATGCTTCCTCTGCATCACTCCCACATACAGCATCTCCCTGCAGAAAGTGCACCGAATAGTTGAACGAAATAGTTGAACGATGCACAGTGACTATCTGCAGCAAGATGATGTTGTAGGTCTTTGGTGCTGGTCTGTGGGTTGACTCTGACTGTTCTCCCCATACTTTCTTCTGTTTATGTGAGATTTTTCTTGGTCTGCCACTTGGAGCCTTAACTTGAACTGTGCTAGCCTGGCATACCAGACTAAATAAACATATTATTTTGTCTGGCAATGCTCCACTGACGGCTCTCAGTCGTGGGGTGGGTTCTATCATTGTCTTTCAAATGATCTCCGCATGCTATAGAACAATAAAGAACGTGATGTACTCACTGCAACGGATATCGGTAAACAAGGCGGTTGCTTAAAATACATCCTTTTTTCAAAAATAAGAACTTAAATAAGCCTATCTGCTCCTGATTCTAACAAAGCACAAGTCCAAATAGTCCAAAACATGTTTCAAATGAGCTGTCGCCATCTTGTTCACCTCTTTTGCATCACCCCACCCTCCAGACGAATAGAGGGCCCTGATTGGCCCACAATGCGAGTAAAGTGCTGTGATTGGTTCACAAAGCAGATAGAGCACTGTGATTGGCCCACCATTATGGACCAATCACAGCACCCTAGTTGTTTGAAACCCCCCTAGAGAGCTTGGCCAGCCAGAATGCTGCTAGCAGCTGCAGAGGTTCTAATGGAGTGTTCCTAGACCAAACTTTGCAAAGCAAGAATTTGGTCTAGTTCACCAGGCTAGAACTGTTTCTGTGGTCTTCCATTTCCTCAATATGTTCCTAAGTGTGAAAACAGCTGAAATCTCTGAGACAGCTTTCTGTATCCTTCCCCTAAACCATGATGGTGAACAATCATTGTTTTCAGGTCATGTGAGAGTTTTTCTGAGACCCCCATGTTGCTACTCTTCAGAGAATATTCAAAGAGGAGGGAAACTTACATTCGTCCCCCTTAAATACTCTTTCCCATAACTGGATTCACCTGTGTATGGACGTCAAGGGTCACTGAGCTTACCAGGCTATTCTTGATTTCCAATACTTCAGTTCAAAAGGTTTTGGAATCAATGAAATGACAACAGTGCCCAAATTTATGTACCTGCCTAAATTAGTTTGAACAATCATTGTACACTTTCTGTAAATCCTAAACTTTGTTTTCCTCATTGAAATATCACTGAGTATATATTCTATTTATATGATATATTTAACTGACATTTTTTATTGTAACAATCAACGAGTTGTACAGGATATCATGAAGATGAACAAGGCTGCCCAAACATTCGCACCCCACAGTATTTTAACAAAAATACAGAAAACCTTACCTGGCCTAAGACATGATCTGATCATGCTCACCGTTCCCAGACTGGGGTTCTGAGTGCTCTGTGCACTGCTCTGCTCTACTCTGTGCATTGCATTCCTATGGCTGATATGCTGTAGTGGTGTAAGTGCCTGCCATTATATGTGACACAAATCCTAGCTTATACCACTTAATACCAGCAAATTTTTATCATTACCAGTCCTCATGCTTGCTACATTAACCCTAGTTTACTCTTTATGTTGTTAGGTAGGAGTCAGTTGATGTTTTTAGTAACTAAGAAATGTTACAGGTAACCTGCAGTGTTGCCAAAAACACATTGGACATTAACGCTATATTTTTATATTGTCCAACTTAAAACTTCAAAAGGGCAGTTCTATGTCATATGGCTCCGCCCTTTAAGCCTCGCCTATTGGGAGTTAGTCCTTGACAACGACCAATGACTGAAGAGCTTTAATGTACGTCCGCCCATCAGGTGGGCCCTGGTCCTATAAGAGAGGTGATCAGACCAAGGATCATCTCCTTTCAGTTCTTCAACAGACCTGACCACTTGAGCTAACCTAGAAGATCAACCATCATGACGAGCGAAGCTATCCGTCTATGCCAGTCCTGCAACGTGGCCTACTTCATGCCTGGCGATCTCCACGCCAGATGCAACATCTGCCTCAGCCCAAACATGCCGGCCTCGCCCTTACACCTCAAGCCACGTGCCACTTCTGCGAGCTCCTCCCGGCGGTCGAGAAGCTGCGACGGTTGGACTATTTCACTGCCATCTCTGAGGACTTTCCTCAGCAGCCGACACTGTCCCACTGGAAGAGGCCATGAACATTTTTTATGCTTGTCAGGACCTGTCTGATTCCGCGGTAGCTGGCTGCTCTGACACGGAGCGGCTCAGCTGCGCGGGATCCTCTTATACATCCCCGGAGGCTGTGGACTACCGGGCTTCCAAACAGGACCCGAGCCCAGTCCTCCAGG